ACGACAGATCCTGCCTGCTGGCTGTGTGACTGTCCCCATCAGGAGACAACAGATGCTTTTCTTCCTACTTGGCCCAAATTTTTGAGGGAAGAGGTCAGTTTTGGAGTATCTGAGCAGAGCTGTGTGTAAATGCTGGATCAGCCCAGTGGCCCATCTAGTCCCCATCCTGTTCTCTCTGTGGCCAACCAGCTTAACTAGGTGCTGCATGAAGAAGAAAAGGGTGGGCCAGTCTTCCCACCCCAGGCTTCAGTTGAATGGCCAAGAAATGAGCACCTCTGTCATCTCTCTGGTGCTTACAACATTCCTGTTTAGGGTCGCTTAAAGGAGGGGTCTTCGTCACCAGATGTTGTATGTCTTCTACTTGCAGTGGCTTGAACCTTGCACCCCCACTTCTGCCACCATCACTTGCAGGTCTGGGTATCTCATGAGCACCCTGTATGTTTTTTGTGACTCACCACCAGGCATACAGTCTACGGCCGTACTACCCTGAACATGCCCGATCTCGTCTGATCTTGGAAGCTAAGCAGGGTCAGGTCTGGTTAGTATTTGAATGGGAGACCACCTGGGAATACTGGGTGCTGTAGGCTTAGGGATGCGGGTGGCACTGTGGGTTAAAACACAGAGCCTAGGACTTGCCGATCAGAAGGGCGGCAGTTCAAATCCCCACGACGGGGTGAGCTCCCACCTAGCAGTTTGAAAGCACGTCAAAGTGCAAGTAGATAAATAGGTACTGCTCCGGCGGGAAGGTAAATGGCGTTTCCGTGTGCTGCTCTGGTTTGCCAGAAGCGGCTTCGTCATGCTGGCCACATGACCCGGAAGCTGTACGCCGGCTCCCTCGGCCAATAAAGCGAGATGAGCGCCGCAACCCCAGAGCTAGTCACGACTGGACCTAATGGTCAGGGGTCCCTTGACCTTTACCAGGCATACAAAGCACACATACCATTATTTCATGGTTTAGTTTGAGAGGGTAGGCTCTGTGCTTAAAGAGAATTACTGCAACACATCAGGCTAAGAAGAAAACTGTCATGAGTAGATCTCCCAGAAACATATTTGCATACATTTTAATTGTTTTTTAAATAATTCTGCTTCTCCTGGTTAGGTTGTGTGTGGGGGGGGTACCTAATTGCCAACTCATTGTGGAGCTGCTGTTAACATAGAATTATAGAACTGTAGAGCTGGAAGTGACCCAAAGGGTCACCTAGTCCAGCCCCCTGCAAAGTAGGAACCACAACTAAAGAATCCCCCACAGATGGCCACCCAACCTCGGTTTTAAAACCCCAAAGAAGGAGAGCCCACCACCTTCTGAGGCCATCCATTCCACAGTCGGACAGCTCTCACTGTCAGAAAGTTATTCCTAATGTTTAGTGGGTATCCACTTCCTTCTAATTTGAATTCACTAATTTGGATCCTACCCCCTGGAGCAGCAGAAAACAAGCTTGCTCCATCTTCTGTGTGACATCCCTTCAGGTATTTGAAGAGGGCTATCATATCACCTCTCAGTCTTATCTTCTTTAGGCTAAACTTACCCAACTCCCTCAACCGTTCCTGCTAAGGTTTGGTTTCCTTACTACCATTAAAGTTTCTTATAATGTTCATCCAGAATCTTCCATCCTGTAACTTAAGCCTAGTATACAAGTGAAACTCAAAAAATTAGAATATCGTGGAAAAGTTCATTTATTTCAGTAATTCAACTTGAAAGGTGAAACTAATAAATGAGATAGACTCGTGACATGCCAAGCGAGATATGTCAAGCCTTGATTTGTTATACAGGTGAAACTTGAAAAATTAGAATATCATGGAAAAGTTCCTTGATTTCAGTAATTCAACTTAAAAGGTGAAACTCATATATGAGATCGACTCGTGACATGCCAAGCGAGATATGTCAAGCCTTGATTTGTTACAATTGTGATGATCATGGCGTACAGCTGATGAAAACTCCAAATTAACCATCTGAGAAAATTAGAATATTCAATGAAATCAGCGAAACAAGGATTGCAAATGGAGCAAGATTGGACCTCGGAGAAGCAGAAGCACATCTCGCTTTGCATGTCATGAGTCGATCTCATATATTAGTTTCACCTTTTAAGTTGAATTCCTGAAATAAATGAACGTTCCCACGATATTCTAATTTTTTTTAAATTCTTTTTATTAATTTTCATAAGCAAACAGAAAAACAAAACAACCGTACATAAAAAAAGAGAAAAACAAAAACAAAAACAAACAACAGAAAACCTAAATGGACCAAAAAAGAAACACACGAATTGACTTCCCTCCATCTCGGTTTTGGATTATATAAGATTGTAATTCCATTCTGCAGTTTTCATTTTATATATTCTAATTTTTCAAGTTTCCCCTGTATCTACTCTTGCTTCTTGCAGCAGCGGGAGCAGCAGCAGCAAAGAACAAGTCTTTGACCTCTTCTATTAGAAATCCTAGCTTAGCTTTTGAGAGCCAGCAGCTTGGCTTGGTGGCTAGAGTGTTGGACTAGGGCTGGGAAGACCTAGGTGCAAAGCCCCATTTAGCCACAAAGCTCTCACTGGGGTGACTGAGCTGCTTGCGTCTCTCTCCGTCTAATCTACCTCCGTCCTCCGTGGGTTGTTGTGAATATGAAATTCATCTCACTCTGAGCAACTTGAAGGAAAGGTAGGATATTAATGTAAGGACAGGTGATGATAAGCCATTTCCTGAAGCTGACAAGCCTGGCATTGTCCACGCTTTTTCTCCAGGTCGTCTTAAGGCCCGGAAAATTGCTGAATTTGGCCCCCGGTGGTTAATTCTACAGGGAGCCCTGACATCAGTAACCCTTGGCTATGATGGCTGTGTGACACTCCAGCCCTTTTAAACTGTCCGCAGCCTAGAGGCTAGCATAGTCTGTTTAACCTTTAGCAAGCAGCTTGCTTTCCAATGTCTTTTTGGGACAGACGAAAGCAGCCCTCTCCTACAGTTGCCTCCAAGGGAGAGGGACTTGATTCCCATGGCTTTGTATGAAAGGAGTGCTGTCTGGACAGCTTAGCCATCATGGAGAGACAGCCTCCAGGAACCTCCAAAGAAAGAATCCAGTTGGGTTTCGTCAAGCGACCGTGTACAGGGTCAATGTATCCGGACAACTGAGAACTGAATACATGGTGCAGTGATGAAAAATGGTCCAGTCTGTTGAAGCCACAGATGATGTCTAAGCTCCTCGTGCTGACAAAGACTGTTCGTAGGCTGTGCCCCAAGTCTACACTGTCCTGGGACTAAGCCCCATGGAGCGCAGTGGGGATGGTTTGCCAATAAAATTCGTAGGGTTATACTGATTGCAATAGAAATCAGCCTAATTAGCCACATTTCTTGCTACATTTGTTAGGGATGTAACAAGGGCCTGTTCGATCAGGCCAACAGCCCATCTAACCCAACATCCAGTTCTCACAGTGGCCAACAGGATGCCCATTGTGGGAGACCAACAAGCAGGATTTGAGCACAAGGTCACACACACACACACACACACACACACTCACACTCACTTTTTGTTTTTGTTTCCAGCAACTGTTACTCAGAAGCCCTGCAGCCTCTAGCTGTGGAGGCAGAGCCCAGCCATTGAGAGCCTCTCCTCCTCCATGAACTTGTCTCTTAAAGCCTTCCCCGTTGGTAGCCATCTCTGCCTCCTGTGGGAGAGAGTTCCATAGTTCAACAGTGTGAAGAAGGACTTCCTTCCCTCTGTCCTGAATCTTCCAACATAATTAGCTGGGGATCTTGTCTTCATCTGGATGTCACTGGACTCCCAGCAACGCCAGTGGTCAGGGATGCTGGTGGGAGTTGCAGGCTGCCAGCTCCCACAAGGCCACAGGTTCCTCATCCCTCCGTCAGTTGAATCAATTCAAAAAATAACTTTCTTTCAACTAAATATGGCCCTGATACAGCAACAGTTTCATTTATTTTTAAGAGTATTTTAATATCTACAAAGACTGCAAATAGGGAAGGGGCAGAAGGTCACAGGTCCAGTCTTGGCACCTCTAGGTGGACTCCTCTTCCTGAAACCCTGGGTAGCTGCCATCGCCACTGCCTGGGGGCCGGATCCAGCCCAATCGCCTTCTAAATCCGGCCTACGGATGGTCTGGGAATCAGTGTGTTTTTACATGAGTAGAATGTGTCCTTTTATTAAAAATGCATCTCTAGGTTATTTGTGGGGCCTAGGAATTCATTCATTATTATTTTTCCAAAATACAGTCCCACAAGGTCTGAGGGACAGTGGGCCGGCCCCCTGCTGAAAATGTTTGCTGACCCCTGCTTTAGAACCATGAGGGATCTTGTTTATTTTAACGGGAAGCTCAGGAATAGCAAATGTGTTGTGGCATAAAGTTTTATGGACTTAAGCTTACTTCATCAGATGCATTAAGTTTACAACCCAGTGGGTAGGGTTTTGAACAGTGATGTCAAAAGGGAAGGAAATGCCAAAAAGTTCAGATCCTAATAATTATCTTATGTGATGGCTAACAACAAACAAACTAATAATTGACAGGACAGGCATTTGGGAACTGGCAAGCTAGTTAAGACGTGTAATATGATAAAAATCCATTATGCCAATTCAGCCCCCAAATGACAGCACTGAGCTCCTTTGTGTGGCAATTCAATAGTGTCACCTTGGAGGCTCCCATTGAAGTTTCTTTGTTCAAGGGCGGTTTCCCTAAGGTTAGTTGCAGAGGAAGTTTTTTAAGTGCCCCAAAACTCTTTGCTCTTTTTGCTGCAAGAGATGATAAGAGAGTTACACCTCTGGAAAACAAACTCATTACTTACAGATTTAGTTGGTCTTTAAGGTGCTACTGGAAGGAAGATTTTCTCCTTGTTATTACTCATAGCCCTCTGTCTGTTTCAGGAGTTTGAAATAAGGGGGCAGCGAAATTGTTGCCCTGTGCTAAGGGTGTGAAGCAGAACATATTGTTACATGCACACACACATGTTGAGTGTGCAAAATATCACTGCAGTTATTGTTCTGGGGAAAATATATCTATTCCTGTCTTCAGGGACCATGGTGGCCGGGTCTTGTGTGGAGTGATGAGGATTGGCTTGGTAGCGAAAGGTCTGCTGATAAAAGACGACATGGACTTGGAGCTGGTTCTTATGTGCAAAGAGAAGCCCACTGAGACCTTACTGTCTCTCGTCAAAGACAACCTCCCCATCCAAATCCAGGTGAGTAAAATTAGGGCAGTCTGTGGCTGTGATGAATGGCTCAGCCAAGCACTGCTCAGCGCTGGTGTTTTTTATTTTAAAAATTGAATGCTGTCCTGGGCAAAGAAGAAACATTAACTGAATTTTCCACCATGGAAAACCTGAAACAGTTTAAAGATGAATCGCTTGTTCTCTGCCCTTAAATCTAGGCTATCCTCCAGAGAAGGTGAGCAGAAATGGCACAAGTGCCTTGCTTTTCTCTGCTTTGTTCCTTCTGACTGTTGCTCAGGGCGATGGCTTGGAAACATCTTTTTTTCTTTTCAGTATGCCCTTGCTGTGCCGTGATATATGGCCACAGTTCAGGAACCAAAATTCTGTAACCCAAAAGAGTGCTGGCTTTTTACAGGTTTGCAGAAAGCCGAACACTCAGCATGCAATTCTCTTGCAACACCCTTCTCCCCTAAAAACCCAGAGGACTCGTTTGTCTTAACAGTGAGATCTCGTATTTGAGAATGACCAGGCCAGACCAAACCCAGTGTTCTGTTTTCAACTGTGGGCAAACAGAAGCTCCCCACAAGGTGTGAAAGTGTTAAGCATCCTCTGCAGTTTGTCCCCAGCACATGGGACTCATAGCCATGAATATGCTCATCTTTGGTTATTATGCTTTTTATTTTGATTTTTATAATTGGTGCTCCAGAATGTGTTCTTAACTGTTGTTGGGATCTTTTGATAAAGGATGCTATATAAACTGAATGAATAAAAAATAAATTCTGTGCATCTGCCTAGCCTGCCCCTCTTTTGTCATAGCTGTCAACTTTTCCCTTTTTTAAAGGGAAATTCCCTTATTCCGAATAGGATTCCTCGCAAGAAAAGGGAGAAGTTGACAGCTATGTCTTTTGTATGAGTGTATTATCTGTCCTGCAGTGGTCTGTTTCAGTGGGATGTCTCTTTGAAAGTCCAGGTGTGCATCAAAATTATTTGGGTGAAGAAGTTCTGAAAACATCAGTTTCAAGGAAGTCAAGAAACCCAGATATCACAGTAACAAATGTAGAAAACACAGATTGGGGTGTGTGTGAATGGGTCCCTCTGCCCTGACCTAACAAAGCCTAAATATACCAGCTTTGTTTCTGTTCTCTCTCAGAATTGGAGCTGCCCTCTCATTTATCTGTAAAGCTACATCTAATAAATAGTACTAATGATTATAATGTTATTAAGGAAATAAACTTTTTCTCACTAGGTTGGCAGGCAGCTAAGTAACAACTTTATTTGTTTGGCTATAAGCCATTGCAAAACAGAAAGAACTTTCAGCATTGGGAGCCACAATTTTAGCTCTTAATTTTCCGGCTGCCAGAACAAATAATTTAAAAATTCACACACAATTTAAAAGTAATAGTATTATTATTATTATTATTATTATTATTATTATTATTATTATTATAAAAAGTAATCACAGATGTCTCATAAAGCAAATTCTCCAACTCCCCTACTAAACTATGTGTGTGTCAAGAGAAGTTGTTATTATTTAGTGTAGTCCACTTTGTAAGAGGCTCAATTAGTGGAGGGTGAAAATGGATAGGGGTATCTTCCTTCTGGCTTGCCCTTTATAAAAAAGGAAAATATGTGTTGGTTCAGACTGGCCTTTGAACCCTTGGCAGCTCTAATACCTCTACTTTAACTGTTGCTGGGGTTGGATTCACTTTTGGAATAAACTACATAGACGCCAACAGGGTGTCCCCATCAACCCTGGGTGCTCAGACAGACCCACTACAAACTTCCCTGAGTTATGCATAAATAATGAGAACTTCCAAGTTCTCAGCCTGACTTAGAGGGAGAAGATTATATTGGCCTTGCCATCTCCAGTGGAAGGAAAATGAAAAGATGGGTTGTTTGGTTTTCAAGTGTTCCAATATTGTTTCAAAGCAACAGTTTCTAGGAAGTTAGTCAATACTTTGCCCTCCTGAAAATTCGGATTACAACTCCCCATCAGCTCCATCCAGCATAAACACATCTTTTTCTTTGCTGAGATTGTGATTTCCCACCGCAGTGACTCAACTGAGCAATTCTGAACTGTTTCAGAAACTCACAGAGGAGAAATATCACGTGGAGCATCATGTGAGTGAGGCAGCCATCATCATCCGTAGCACAAAGGAGCTTCCACTAACTCTCAAGGTGACCCTAACCTCCCCTCTAATCCGGGACGAAGCTGAGAAGAAGGACGGAGGTATTGAGAGGAGTTCCCTTGTTTTCCTGATTGTGCTAATGATTTTCCTCCTTATACTGTGCAGGTGAAAAAGGAGTTCTCTCTCCTTGTTGTGCTACCAGCAAACCTCAGTTTACTTGCCAAAAGAATGGGCAGAAGCATCTGATCTCACTAGGGATTCGACAGCCCCGTTCAGAGAAAGTTGTATACAGGAGTACAGCTGCTAACCTTCAGTTAACTCTGTTAGTTTATGAGATTGTTACTAGGACACTATTTTCAAAACAGCCCACCCAAGTCAGCTTTCAATATCTCATAAACATGGTTCATTCAGGGCCTTTTCCATGGCTGACCCTAGATGTTAGAATGCACTCCTCTGATAGGTTCATCTTGCCCCCTCTTCTCACCCCTGTGTGAAAATCTCTCTGTTAAGGCAGGTCTTGGTCTGAAATATTATTAATTTTTATTCCTGGGGTGGAGAACCTTTTGGTTCTCCAGATGATGTTGAACTCCCAACCATCCTTGACCATTGGCCATGATGGCTGGGGCTGATGGGAGTTGGAGCCCATCTAGAGGGTCACAGCTTACCCACCCGTTTTCTTCCCTCTGAGATACTGCTTTTGCTACTAATCCCCAACTCTTACATAATTTTTATTAGTTTTCCAATATACCCCAAATAATAGCCAAATTATAACAATAACAATTAATCCCCAAATTGTACAATTATCAAAGTGGCAATCAACTTCCAATTAATGCATTTTAGTTCTAGTGACTCCCTGCCTGATGGTTTGGGTGCATTTCACTGCGTCAGTTACAACACAATTACAATAATCCTTAATCAACTGCTACAGAATTAGTGATTTCCATTTGTGATGTTACAATATATAAGTTTATAAAGCTTCACGTGTGGAACTCAAAACTATTATCTTTCTTCTGCCCTGCATGTGAAAACTGTTATATTGATGGAGATTCCTTCTGTCCATATATGGTTTTGCCTCTTTCACGTCCCAGCTGTTGTTTTCTCCCATCATGGCTTCGGGCGGAACTGAATCTCCAAGTTTCTCAGAGGTCTTATTTCTCCGTCCCTTGCTTCGATGTCTTGGAACAGGCGACAGTCTGCTAGAAACCATTCTGTCTCACTAGTAAAACATGTCGTAGATCTCTGCCATTTCCCCCTCAACCTAGGAAAAGGTGGGCAGTTTTCAAATGCGATGAAGGTTTGCCATATTTTTCCGTGTATAATCCTAGGTTTTTTTAAACAAAAAATTAGGTTTAAAATTGGGGCTCATCTTATGCACAGGTAGTGCTGAGGGGTGTTTTCTTAATTTGGAGTCTCCAAAAATAGGGAGTGTCTTATACATGGAAAAATGCGGTAATACTCCTTTCCAACTCCCAGAATCTCTGCAGGGTTATTATCACAGCCCCCAAATTTTTTTCCTTCCAGCTGGAGATTTATGGCCCAATTAAACTTTACCTTACATTACATTCTGTCAGTAGAACACACAAATCTCAGTCTCTCTTTCCTTGTCTATTGTTTTTAAACAGAGGTGAGGGGAATTGCTCTGTCTTTCCAACACAGTCATATTTGAGCTTTCCCTCCCCCTCCTTTCTTCATTTCAGATCACACAGTTTCAATTTTTGCTTGCTAGTATCAATATTAACTCCAACCTCCCTTCCTCACTTGTAAATATCTTTTTATTTTATATCCTGGAGAGGGTTGCCAAATCATAGATATATAAAAGAAGCTTAGAATAAACAAACCGTGGGCTTCCCTCCCCCCAACCGATACTCGCGCGAAAAAAAAATCTTATTTCAATTCAAACTTTTGATCCATGTAGCTGGTATATTTGGCAATATGTTGTTGCAACCCTTATGCCGGTATTTTAAAGCCAGTTAAAAGGAGAACCTCTGTTTCATAATGGCGGCGTAGGAGGGTTTTCGTCAGGCAAAGTGCTTTTGCACTCAGCAGCCCCCGGCCTCCTGCATTCCATGCTAGAGTGAGAGCCGGGTACCGAGATGAACTGTGATTGAAGCCCCTTCCCCCCGTCCCTGGGGGAAACTTGCAAGGATGATTTGCCCTCTGTCATCTTTGTTTTTCATTTGTCAACGATCCCCCACTGTTGTGGGGGCTGCCTCCATTAAGACAGGCAGGACCGGAATCCTTCTAACCCAAACTCTTAACATGTTGCTCATGGAAAATGATTATCATTGAGTGTTTGGACTACAAGGTTGTGTTCCTGTCCCTGACATTGAGACTGCTGCAAACAGGGCTTTAAATTTATTTCAGAAACAGACTGGTCTCCTATCCAGATGGAACAGAATCTTTCCATATACATAACTCTTAGCTTTGCAAACATCATTTGGTCTAGACCAGTGGTTCCCAAACTTACTTGGACCACTGCCCCCTTCGTTCCATAAATTCATCCCCATAAAAGCAATATTCAAAAAAGTGGTTTGCATGACCCAATGAGGAAGATGATAACCACAAAACCCAAAACAGTAAGAATTAATTGCACATTTATTCAAAATCCAATTTAAAATAGTTTAGTTTAATTTACTAATTCAACAAAATGAATGAACAGCGAAACCAGATTTTCAGTTTCTGGTATTCATTTACATATCCCTTGCCCTCCCCAGTCCCCGCCCCCCGGGCCATATTACCCACTTGGGGAACCACTGGTCTTCGGGAACCACTGTTAAATTGATCAGCTCATATTTCTGGGGTGGGGAAGGGGTGGACAGGACTGGGTCAGACAACCTGATACCCTCTAGATCAGCGGTTCTCAACCTGTGGGTTCCCAGATGTTGTTGGACTACAACTCCCATCATCCCTGAGCTCTGGCCTTGCTAGCTAGGGGTGATGGGAGTTGTAGTTCAACAACACCTGGGGACCCACAGGTTGAGAAAGGCTGGTCTAGATGTTGTTGGACTCCCTTCAGCCCCAGCCAAGAGTGGCCAGTGGTCAAGGGTGATTGTAGTTCAGTGACACCTGGAGGGTCACCAGGTTGCCTACCCCTTGGCTGGGATTTTTGGCCCCCGCCCTAGCTCTTTGGCTTTGTGTGTATGCAGAGGCACTGTGCTGTGCCTCTGCTGCCTCCTTTCAGGACGAGTGTCAGATCCTACTTTTATACCTTCTCAGCTTGGACTTTGGCACACCTAGCAAATTCCATTGCTGACTCCCTTTCAATTTTGCTATCGGTTAACAACAGATACCAAGTCTGTTTGCTTTTTGATTAAATGCTGTGTTAAATAATCTGAGCCTTAACAGTGGATACTCGGGAGAAGGGGCTTCTCACAAGTGCGTTGCCCAACATGGTGGTGATGAAGCTGGTGGGTATTTTTCATTCTCCAGAAAACTCCCCTTCTCTGCTAATTATTGATGTGTGTTTACCTTTAAGCCAATAATACCCATGAGCAGGACAGAGTTGAGGTTACTGCTAAAGTGCCATACTTAAACCTGCACATAACGTTCTCTGGGTGTCATCTGTCTCCTCGCCGTGTCTTGTCCCATCTCCTGTTACGCACTTGGACTTTGCTGTTCAGGCACAAGAAAAGACATGGATGGAGGATGTTTCCTCTGCACTCATAGGAAACAAGCAATGGTGTTCAGGGCTCTTGCCATGTTACCCACCGACCCTACCCCGAGTACCCCTTTACCCAAGAGTAGGCCACATTGAACTCCATGGGACTTACTTATGAGTAGGCATGCATAGGGTTGTCCCATTCATCCCCACTGGAATAGAATTCCTTACTCCAGTGTCTCCAGTGCTTTTTATTCTCCCCCTCCCCATAATTTAGCCATTGAGCAATGTCAGACTTTTGACTCCTGGTTGCTCTTTCTCCATTTCTAGACATACCACACATTCCTCTGTTTCCCCTCTCCCCTCCCTGCCCTCCACCCCAACACTGAACCATCAACACTATGAGAAGCGTTGGTCAGTTTTAATTTGTCTCCTTCAGGATGGAATTGGGCACAGGTGTTTGGAGCCCCTGGAAGGAGAAGTGTTTTGCGCAGGTGGAATGGCGATAGGGGTGCTTCATGGCCAAATTGGGTGGGTTGGAGATGTAGATGTGTGGAAGTGGGAATTGGGAAGGTAATAGTCTGAATGCCTCACACCAAGCCCTCGCCTTTGCAGGGATTCAGTGGGGAGCAGAAATCCTTGCTTCTTATAAAACTCTCTGTAGGCAGTGAATTCAGAGGGATTTTTCTTGCTTTCACCTTTGTGAGGCAGGCAGCAAGGTGGCCCAGTTTTGCAAACTACCAGAGGCAACGGTTGACTACCAAGCCTGGCCTAAATTTGTGGGCCCCTGCAACTAATAAACTGCATTCATTTAGCAGGGATAAATGCCAGCCCCTGGCTTAGCAATCGTAATTGTAAGCATTTTATTAGAATCCAGACTTTCCCTCCAGGCATGGCTTGAAAGAATTGGGAATTAATAGAAGATATGTGAAGCATCACTGAGTTGTTAAGGAGGCATGGAAACAGTGGTAGAGGAACAGATACTCTCTTTTAAATCCCAATATATTTTTGAGGATAACACTTTATTCTCAAGGACAATGTAATTCACTGATGTACCAAAGCAATCCAATTCTGCTCATTTGAAAAATGAAATTCTGTGTGGTGTAGAGAAGTGGATAGGAACCTTCCTCTCTTCTGAACTACAAGCCAGTGGGAGACAGCCAATGGATCCGCATGCTGGGAGATTTGAAAGAGACAAAAGGAAGTACTTCTTCCCAAAGCGTATGGTTAGACTCTGAAATTTGCCACAAGAGGTAGCGTCGGCCAACTTTACACGGCCTTAAAAGTGGATTAGCCTCATCTGTCACAAATTTGTCAATCAATAGCTACTAGCCATGATGACCACATTTTACCTGTAGTGTTGAGTAATGTGTACCCAGTAGGTTTCTAAATACCAGTTGTTGAGCAACATGAGGGGAAAGAGATCTGCTGCACGTGGATCCTGCCCATTGGCTTTCCATTGGGGCATCTGGTTGGCTTCTGTGAGACCAGGAGGCTGGACTA